TCTATGTATAGAAAATACTTAAAAATTAAAGGGATTCGCTATTTTTACGTAAATTTCCACTTACGCCAGGTATCTTTGAAGATATTAATGGCACAAGTTGGGGAATTCTATGTATTTCGAATACGGTAACAATACAGAGATACCAATGAATAAGTTGAATGTAAAAATATTGAATCATTGACATAATAAATGTAACCATCAAATATTTTCTTTTTACATTTACCTAATACAAAAAATGAAATATTTAAATCTTTTATTGAAAACGTAATTAAAATGGATCGAATGGTGGCAAAATATTATCTGTTACTTGGAAATTCGATTTTCTTTTAAGGCTTTAAGATTCTTCCGCCACGAAATATTTCGATCAGAAATTATAATTATGAAACTTGCAGGATGCGATAAGTGCTTAGGTACCCTAATCGCGTTAATTATCGTATTCGTTTAGAAATTTTCAAATATCGACCATCGATCCTAGTTACGGTCGATTATATAAGAAAACTTTATTAATTCTAAGAATTAATGACGGTCTTCTTCCGATAATCATTGCCTTTTTTTTTTTTTTCGTAAACGTCTACGAATTCCAACTTGATTTTCTAATATTATATTATTAAATACTGTATTTTAACAGGAGAATTCAGAGAACATATTTGTTAAACGGAAGTCACTAAATATACAGAAGTATCTAACATGTATTAATAATTAAACCAGACTTTACATCAAGTTCGTCGTTAAGTGTTGCGAGTGACATAGACCGATCATCTCTGATTTATACAATTATATTTTAACAAATTATAATCAGATTATGTATGAATTTTAGAGATTAATGTAATTTATCGAAAGTAAATAAAGAATTATTTTATTAGAACGTCATATATCGGAGAGATGTCAGCAAACTCTTCCGAAACTATAGCAACAAAGTGCTTTAAACAATTCTATTGTGCGAAACTTTCCTGTTTTGTTGACCACGTAAGCGGGAATAAATGTCAATTTAGTATACTAGAACTCGTGGCCATTTAAGTGAGGTTGAAGTAGCCACGTCTAAGGAATTTGATTTATATTAAAAATTGTTTGAATCTAATATTTCTAGTTTATTTTCATTTGTAAAGATTAGTTTTATTGACAAAGTATAATATAAAAAAATATTTCTCATATAAAATGCTAATCCTTTTAATTTGCTAGCTTCTCGAAGAAACTCATTCTTTCTCATTCCTCGATAAAAGGAATTTAAATCTTAAAATAGAAGGAATAAGAAAAAACATATTTCTATGAAGTTGCCTTATATTTACAGGGTGGCTAATAAATACTTTTAAATAGTTTACTTAATAAACGATACGTTAACGATAAATAAATAATCATAAAAGTTACTGTAAAAATTTTATTAATAATACTTTTTCTCTCTCCCATCTCTCCTTCCTATATGTACTGTACTCACATTCCCTCTTATTTGGACATTTTGAACGATGATGATGATGATGATGATGGTGTTGAATATGCAAGCACAATACTTAGCTGAACGTGTGACTAGATGATTGTAGGTGCATAAACAGTGTACTACAGTAGCGATAATCTACTTTCATCCTTTCGACGATACATTAGAAGAATCATCACCTTCAGACGTCAAAGGATCATCGGTCGGCTATCTTGATGTTAATGCTTTTACAGGAAATGGGTCAATGGCTGGGTGTCAGGAGTGGGGTGTGTGGAAAGATGTGGATTATCTGAAGTTGATGGTGTTGTTACCCTTGTGAATGACATTGTAATCGGTAGCTGTTTTCTTTTTTTCTTCAATTTGTCGAAGACTTGGTGAAGTAGCTGTATGTCTTCGGTTTTTACTTTGGTAACTTTAATTCTTCAGATGTGATGCTTTCCTATGTTAGTTTTCACTTCTTCGGACAGCATATCTTACACGTCATCTTTATCAGATTCTATTAACTGTTTTCTGTTTCTACGATTTTCCTAACTTCGCCATCAATGCTAAGGTAGCATTTAAAAATATCCATAAAGTCACTCCATAAGAGTTTCTAGCAAGAATTTAAGCAAGTACAGTACAAGTAAAAGGCTTCAATTCATCCTTTTCACCAAAGATAAAGATTACTGCATATGCAGTTATGAAGGACTTTCAGCACTAAATTGATTCAACATTGATCCAGATCAATTTCTGAGCGAATTCCGTGAAAAAAAAACCAGGTAAATGTAAGTAGCCTTGACACTCTTGTTGTGAGTCCGTGTATGGTGGGTAATTACTTCGGTGATGTTAATAAGTTTAAAACTGTCATTATGTATAATACTTTCAAGTAAAAGAATTCATTAAATTCATTCCTAATTAAATAAGATTAATTAAGATAATTAATAAGATTCCTAATTAATAATCATCGAAGATCAGCATTCAAATAGAAATTTATATATATACATATGTATAACTTACATAATATATGTTATGTTAGTTACGTTTAACGAACACAAAACTATTAATGATTCTTCACTTTACTTTCTCTTCAATATCTTTTTTAAATTGATATTTATGAAAAATATTTAATTATATTCGCAACTTTGTATAATTTACAATATTTAAATAATTAATTAATTTGTTCCTTACAGACTGTCAATTTAAGAAATGTTTTTGTAATTGGAACCGAGTGTTATCGTTTAAATTTCATCATTTCTCCTCAACCTCAATGTAATCATTTAGCTATAATATAAATTTACGATGTCGTTGACACTTTTCATTGTTTCTAAATTACCAAATTTGCTATCGGTTTGTTATTTCGGTCTCTCATATGTCAAGATTCTATATTAAGGGGAAGAGCTTACGTTTGTTAAAAACATTCGGATTTATGAATTTATTTGCTAACTTAAAATAATTTAATTATGAAGATTTCCCATTCGTTCCTTTAATCTTTGTTTTCTCCTTTCTTGTTCGAGATAAAATTAAATTACATAAAACTTAGTAATTTCCAGAAAGATAATTGTCCAATAGGCGAAAGTAAAAATAAGTTAAGTTGCTGTCACAATAACCAAAGATGTTAAAGTTAATGTAAGAGAGCTCTCGATATATCCGTGTAAAGTAATTAGTAAAGGTCAACATCCACAGTATCTCGGGTACTTTAAAATAATGATATATATATATAAAAAATCTAATTAGCGTAAAACGGTAAAGAGCATTCTCGCATTAAAATAAAATAAAGACCACTTTAAAAAAAGATATATTCTTACGATTATTTACGATAAAGTAAAAGTAGGATAAGTAATTTCCAGTTCTTTAAGATAAAATTTTATAGTTAATACCATTTTGTATTTATGAGGAATAACGAAGAGAGAAGCGTAATTGTTAATAATGACGATAAAAATGCTCTCGTGAATAACAAAATATAAATTATAGACTGATTAATTTATATACTAAAAATTATAATTAAAAAAGCGTTTGCTGTGTAATTCGAGAACCAAAAAACACAAGAGAAAACAACGATGATTTTTCTTTGATTTTAAGAATTTTTTTATTTAAAATACTTTAATATTAGTAAGGATAAAATAAAAGTTAAAGGAAACACGATCGTCATCTGCAGATACAAAAAAAAGAACCTATTAATATTAATTTCGAAAAAAATTAGTAATTACTACTTTAAAGTAACTGGAGATTAAAATGAAAAAATCATCAGCTGAGCGTGTCTAATACATAATGTTCAATCCTCTGTATCAACACATATTTTGGCTTTAGGTTATTAGTAAAGAAATTTTCTACACGAGTAAAACTACACACCGTGAGATTACAGTAGTTTCGAAGTATCGAATTTGTGGCTTGCCTTAAGAGCGACAGCATCTGCAACCGACCAGCTGACGACGAACAACAGATCGAAGTATTATTAAATATGATATTCTGCCGGGCGAAAGTCACCGAGGAACTATCCAAAGAATTCAAATTTCATCAGTTTTCGTTACGAAGATCGAACTCGCGAATAAACTTTGATTAATGATGCTTAATCGTTCCTTCGACGTCGATCAATTGATTGAGTTTTTGCCCTACTCTCACTCTCATTTTTTTAAATAAAAGTTTTCTTTAATCTACACGTAGGTCTGTCTACGTTACGTTATCAAAAGGGTTATATAACCTGTTGAACTGCTGTAAATGATTTATTCAGGAGACTTTTGTCAAGGAAAGTGTAGGATGCTTTTTCGTACAATCACTATACTACTCAACTGATGCAATTTAAAAAAAAAAAATCTTCTAAATGTCCTGAATACGAACGTGGTTAGCAACATCGAATTCATACCCCAGATTTAGGACATCTTTACAAGCCATAATAGAATTTCGAATAGTGATGAATATGTTACTGTAAATGCTCGAACTATGGTAAATCCTAAGATCTTCCAGTAAAACCTAAGATTTATCAAATCTTTGTGGTAAAAGTCCGAAATGTTCTGCGATCATCGCTAATTTCGAACTTTTACCAGCATTTACTCGGTATATCTTAGGTTTTACCTCAGAGACACGGTAAATGTTGAAAAAATAGTCTCCGCTTTCCCCACCGTTCCGCGTAGTCGCCTTCTCTGGCCTCATTCGATCGTTTGACAAGTTAGAACACGCACGTTAATTCTAATCTTGTTTGAGATTTCGTTGTCTAAAAATTATTTATGAATCAAGATGAGTATGAAACGGAGATTTTATGAAATAATGGACGAGTTCGTTGCAAGCAAGAAAGATAATAACTTTTATCTTAATAGGGACAAATACGCAAAGTGCTTGAAGGAAGTAAAAGCTGCAAAGAACATGAAAAAGAAACAAGCTGTTCATTACAGGCGTATAAAGCGTTACGACATTTTGACTATAGGCGGTGAAGAAAAACTAATTGCACCTATGAAGGAAGAGGATGGAGAAATAAGGTATTACATTTGTTACGAAGACTTATTCAATATTCTCGAAGAAACGCATGTTGCTGTTGGCCACGGTGGAAAGACACGGATGCTTAAGAAATGTAACCGCAAGTATAAAAATGTAACAGTTGAGGCTATTATGACATACTTGAAGCTATGTCAAAAGAAACAGAAGACTTTGAAAAAGGGCATTGTCGTCAGACCTATACTTCACAGTGAAATGAACTCACGCTGTCAGGTTGATCTAATAGATCTACAAACCAGCCCATATGGAAATTATAAATTTATTTTAGTTTACCAAGACCGTCTTACCAAATATGTGATCCTTCGTGCGCTTCAAACTAAACGCGCCGTAAGTTGCATACCATCTTTTGGATATTTTCACCACTTTTGGAGCGCCGAGCATCTTTCATTCCGATAATGGTCGAGAATTCTCTAACCAAGTTATTGAGAGTTTATGTCCGGATGTTTTACATCCGGCTCCATGTGGCCGGATGTAAAAATCGTACATGGAAAGGCAAGACAGCCAAAGTCAAGGATCAGTGGAGCGTGCTAATCAAGACATAGAAAATATGTTGAGCACGTGGATGGAAACCAATCAGTTATTAAAGTGGTCAGAGGGTTTAAGATTCATCCAGGCGATGAAAAATAGAGCATATCACGAGGGAATCAAATGTTCCCCCTATGAAGCAATGTTTGGTTGTCCAATGAAAATGGGCCTTGCAACTTCAGCAATCCCTAATGATATGATTAGAGTTATAAGATCTGAAGAAGATTTAGAGAAGTTGTTGCATTCGCGTGACAATATGGAACAAAATAATGACATCGAAAATGCAATCGAACAGGACAAGGAAGAAAGCATTGTTGAAAATAAGTCAGAAGGGGAGATAGACAATAGCACTCTCAACGATAAAACACAAGAAGATGAAATGATTATTACTGAGAAAATGAAGGCGAAGCAAATAACCGATTATTCCAATGTAACGATTCAGAGACAGATAACATGATTGAGTCTCAGGAAGTTCTTGTAACTATAGAGCCAATACCAAAAAAGATAGAATCTGTAGTGACTATAAGAAACAACGCAAACTTGAATTTGGAAAAACAAGCTGAAAAAATGAAAGCCACGTCTGTTGATAAATATTCAAATGTGAAAATTGGCCAAAATGTAAGATTGAAAGTGCCTGAAATTGACAAAGTTAAAACCTACCCGAAAAGCGTTATTGCAGTTGTAGTAGATGTAAAGGACAACGAGTTTTACCAACTAGATACCAAAATTGTACTACTAAAGCAGCTTTATACACAAAGTCAATTTACTTCATGCCCTAAAGACTTTATCAAGATAGAAGTTGTTAAAGGTAAAGAAGTGAGTCTTCGAGAAGTTGTCGCAAAATTGTCTTTGACCGGAGGACAAGGTTTCAAGAAGTGCAACTGCTTAAAAAAATGCCTAACGAAGAAGTGCGCTTTCAAGTCATCAAGATTACTTTGTAATTCTAAATGCCATGATAACTCTCCATGTTGTAACAAACTAAAATCCTTTTTTTTTACTTTTATTAAATGACAATGAATACCAAATGATTAGAAAAAATACTGAGATTACTGATTAGCTTAGCCAACGTAAGCTATTATATTATTTTTTACAAGATAATTTAATTTTTGTTATGTTAAAAAAGTATTTTTAAACTGTTTCACTAGTTATTAATAAATAGGACTTAGTAAGTTTATAATAATTGCAATAAATGATTATTAAAATACTCATAGTTTTATTTCCAAAACC